GTTAACAAAATTTTATTATGTCATTTTCGGTTTGGTCACTTGTCCTTTTCTGCTTTGAGTCATCTGTTCCCAGATATGTTTAAAGGAGTGTCTTTATCGAGTATTCATTGTGAATCATGTGAGCTGGCAAAGCATTGTAGACATTCTTATTCAATTAGCAATAAAAGATCATTTTCTCCTTTCCATATTGTTCACTCTGATGTGTGGGGGCCATATCACATGCCAACCATGGGGGGTTACAGGTACTTTATCHTTTTTATTGATGATTATTCACGTTACACTTGGATTTATCTCATGAAATCCAGGGATGAAGTACCAGCTATTGTGAAAAATTTTCATGAACTAATCCTCACCCAGTTTAATACCCGTATCAAAATATTCCTCTCTGACAATGCTAAGGAGTATTTTGAGAGAACCCTCTCCACCTATCTTGAAACTTTTGGGGTTATTCACCAAAGTTCATGTTCCTACACTCCACAACAAAACAGGGTGGCGGAAAGAAAAAACAGGCGTGTGGTTGAGGTTGCCAAATCCCTCTTATTTGCATCCCATGTTCCAATGAAGTTTTGGAGAGATGTTGTTCTTACTGCTACCTTTCTGATCAACCGTATGCCCTCCCGGGTCCTTGGCTTTAAAACCCCCTTTAGTCTTCTCTTCCCGGATGAGGATCTCTTTTCTCTTCCTCTCCGTGTGTTTGGGTGTACTTGCTATGTGCATATTCATAGTCACCAAAGGCATAAGTTTGAACCTAAGGCTCATAAGTGCGTGTTTCTGGGATATGCTTCCATACAGAAGGGTTATTGCTATTTTGATCCAGTTCGTGGCACCCGCTTTGTATCTCGGGATGTCACCTTTGCAGAGTTGACTCCCTTCTTTAGTATTCCTCCTAAGGGGGAGAAATCTTATGAGTATTTTGCTATGTCTCCAGTTGTTCCTCTTCCCATCCCTTGTGAGTCCGATCATGGGGTGTCCACCTCTTCCACTGGACCTACCCCTGATGCCCCTGCTCCCCCTCCTACTTCTACTCCTGCTCTCCAGAGGTGGTACCAAAGGCAGAGATTTAGACATGTGCAAGTTGTTTCCACTCCTTCAGAAGAGCATCTTGCCACTCCCATCATTCCTGAGGAAACAGGTCAGCCCTCTACTGACCCATCTCTGACTGTTCCAGACCTTGACCTTCCTATTGCTCTTCGCAAGGGCAAGCGGAAGTGTACAGCCCATTGTATCTCCTAACACTTATCTTACAGCCTTCTCTCCCCTTCCTACTACTCTTTTCTTG